AAAGAAACTCAAGGGCTTATTTGTTGGTTGTTGTTTTCACAGATTTAAAGGCCATTGTGTAAAATTCACTAATATGGTCTGAGTCTTTTATTCCCTAGATAAAAATATTAGCTTTATCTCAGATACTTAAAGAAAAGGAGCCATGATGCTCCCCCCCACCCCTTGAAGTTAGCATGGCTTCAAAACACCCTTAAATTTTTGTATTCATGTTGAGGAAGTACAGCTATTCTAGTTTGACTTTCGTGTGTGTGTGTGTGTGTGCGCGCGTGTTTTGACATTGGGGGAAATGGGCAGAAGGAAAAATAAAACGTACTTTATTTTGTATTGTGCTTTGCAGTTTTTACATTTTTTATGTTTTCTCAAATCTTCTAAATGGGGAAAGCTGAGGCCCAGAATTGACATTGTGAGGAGAAAATACTTCTCAGCATGAGAGAAATTCTTACATTGAGAAGGGGCTATAAAAGGATGACTTAAAAGATTTAGTTGGGAGCCGGGTGCAGTGGTGCACGCCTGTAATCCCAGCAACTTGGGACATTGAGTTGGGAGGGTCTGAAGTCTGAAGTCAGCCTAGGAAATTTAGCAAGACCCTTTTTCAAAATTTTTTAAAAAAGGGCTGAAGATGCAGCTCAATGGTAAAGCACCCCCCAGGTTCAATCTCCTGTACTGGGGCAAGGGGAGCAGGGGAAATTCAGTTGAAAAAAGGTGATTACAAGGTTTGTCTGCTATATCAAGCTTCTTAGATAAAGATCCAAAGATAATCCTGTGAGTCTGAGCCAGGGTTACTGCTGAATATGGTGACTTTATAACCTGTACAGGAAAGTGAAGAACAACAACTAGTTTAGGGGAAAAGATTGGTTTAAGCCTGATTTTAAGGTGCTAATGTTGCATCCAGATGATGTCACAAAATGCCCCAAAGACAAGACTTATGGGCAGAAAAAGGCTAGCTTGTTGGGCAAATATAGGAAATTTCAGAAGTCACATGGCATGTTCATTTTCATATTTCAAGCCCTTATTTTCCCCTCATCTGCTCCACCATCTTCCCAGTACTATAACTGTAACAAATTTCAGTAGAATTTTGTTTGTATAATGATGCAAGCCATGAAAGAGAAGCTCACTTGAAAGAGTGAACAAAGGGGGAAGAAATGTGACAAAGAAAAATTATAATGGTAAGCTCTCAAACAGGTTAGTTGGTTGGATGGTTCATGTAGAAGCTGAACACAGGGAGCATTGCACAGAAGGTGGTGATCTGAATTGTTCAAGGAGAATAGAAGCCTGTGAGAAACTCAGCTATAATCTAAAGAATGTGCTTACATAAAAAGCAGAAATAGAATGGTGGTACCCATAGGTGGAGGTGAGGGGAGATAGGGAGTTGCTGTTAAATAGTGTAAAGTTTCAGTTATGCAGGATGAAAAAGCCCTAGAGATCTGCTATACAATAAAGTACTTACAGTTAACATCACTGTATTGTATGCTCACTTGTTAAAGGGTAGATCTCATGTGTTTTTTTAATAGAAAGAGAAAGAAAGAGTCCTTGATACTTTCCTGGAGACTGTAGTATGAACAGGAATTGAAACAAAGATCCTGTGAACTGGTGGATTTTTTTTTTTTTTCTTTTCTTTTCCCAATTTGGCACTATCTGGGTTTACTCTTGATTTGGTCCAGAACATTTCTACAATTATGCTAAAGTTCTTGATCCTGGGATTGAATAGGCGTGACCATAACTCTGTAGAGCTATAGTTTATCATTTCAAAAGGAATAAACATGCCTGAAGATGTGATTTAAGAAAAAAGAAAAACCAAAGGAAGATTCCGGAGCAGCACTGTCCAGTAGAGCACTTTGCAGAGGCAGATAGAGATGTCAGCACCATCCTGTGGGAGCTGTCACCACAGGTGGTTGTTGAAAACCTGAAGTATGACTAATGAAACTGAGAAACTTTATTTAATTTTAATTTAAATTTTATCATATGTGGCTCATGGCTCTCATATTGAGCAACACGGGTCTAGAGATTTCAAGAAAGTTCATCAGAGTGTGAATGAAGTAGGAATGCAGTCCTTGGCATGGGATTTGAATGAAAAATTAAGGAAAGGGTATGACTGGATCTCCAGTTTATGGTTTAAAATGAATCTTTTGGATATTGTGATGTTATATTTCTTTTGTGTTTGAACTAATGAATGTTAAAAACATACACAGATAGAGGTTGGCAAAATTTCCTTTCAAAGTACAATGAATTGAGAGTAGAATTTATGAATTGCTTTGATCATTTAAAAAATGTTTTTCACCATTATGAATATACAAAATAGTCATCCATCATGTACAGATGTAAAAACCAGGCTGATTATTTAAAAATTGATGCCATTGAAAAATACAATTAAGGAACCATACATGATGAAAAACTTTAAAATTAATTTTCTAGTCAATGAGTAAACAGTTCTCTTAGGTCAGTCTGCATGGTTTTTCTCCTGGACTGCTACCATAGCTTCCCAGCTAGTTTTTTGGTCTGTGGCTCATGTACTACCTCACCCCTAGAATTGTATTACTAAAAACACAAATCTAAATCACATCTCTGCTTAAGAATTTTTTACTACAAATCAACATGTAATAAAAGTTTTCAATCACACTTTTGAAATTAGTAGGTGAAGAGAACTGATGAAAACAAAATTGTTAAAACATTTTTGTTAGTACATTGGCAATAAACAACAAGAAGGTTAAAGATACTTACAACTTAAACTCTAGTTAAATCTGCTTCTGGGAATATTTCTAAAGAAACAATTTTAAACACTATAAAATATGCCCAGGAAATTGCTTTTCACATAGTAGTAGAGAATGTCTGAAATTTTGTTTTCTATAGGGAAGCAAAGAAAAGAAATCTATTATTCTCTTATAAGTTCTTTTTCTGGATCAATCTATATTATGGTTACTTAGACAAGAAGTGCCAATACTGGAAATTCTGAATCCATTTTACATATAGACCTCTAGCATGCTTGACCAGTAAATTGAGACCTATTATCATCACTTTATAATCTAGATGCTATATTTTTTGTAAAACATAAGTCATTTAAGGTTTTCATTATGTAATCTATTTATTTATTTCAGTTGAACCCTGAAAATATATGAAGAGTATGTGCTAAACTCATGAGGAATGGGACCATGTATTTTCTCCTTACCAAATATCCTCAAAGTCTATCACTCTCAAAAAAATTATTGAATGTCTTACTTTGTTAGTTTGTTTTGTAACTGCTGTAAGGGATTTTCAGTGTTTAAATAACTACTTTGTCTTTGGTAGTCTCTTTGATTTGTAAGGAATAAAAAAGACTTAAGTTACCTACTAGTAGAAAAGGAAGCATGAATATAAATGACCATGACTAAGTTTTACTTTTTCTAGGAACCCATAGAAACTGGTGCTTTTCCCTCCTTAGAAGCAGGTATCTCTTGATACCTGCCTGGTGCTTTTCATTTATTCCTCTCTGCCTCTGCTTCTGAGTACTATTTTGTTTCTCTTCTGTAAGATGACATTGCTTTCACATAACTCTAGTACATAGTCCTAAGAGGAGAATTATTCTGCTAAGTACTGTCAACTCTAGGCAGAACTTTTACATCAAGGTTCCATGGGCTGCAGATCAGCTTCTATTTTGACTGGTAGGGATCTTGCTCTGGTCAGATGTGGCAGGGAGACAAGTTCAAGTGAAAGAGATATTGCATTTTCAGATAAGGAAATATCTGAGTTATTTTCAGCTTAGAAGTTTCCTTGGGAGGATTTGGTGATATCTGAAGCTTTATACACTATTTTCTAATAGATATGTGCTCCGTTATTCCTCAGTTTTTTCCCACTCAGTCTTTATTATCTTTATAAACCATGGCATAGTTCTTAGCTTTGTAGGACTTCTTTTTCAAAATCTTAGGATATTTTATTGTTAAAAAATTAAGTGGTTAGGGGGCTGTGGCTGTGGCTCAGTGATAGAGTGCTTGCCCAGCACGTATAAGGCACTGGGTTTGATCCTCAGCACCACATAAAAATAAATAAAATAAAGGTATCATGTCCATCCACAACTAAAAAAAAAAAAAAATTAAGTGGTTGGGTTGGGGTTGTAGCTCAGTGGTAGAGCGCTTGCCTGGCATGTGTGAGGCACTGGGTTTCAGCACCACATAAAAATAAATTTACAATTTGATGAGGTGTTTTAAATAATTAAATAGTCATTTCCCCCTCTTTCTTCACCTGGCTAAGAAGGAATTCAAAATATCATAGGCTTCCTCACACTATCCCTTCTTCAAAACATGCCTGTGGAAAAGGAAGCAATTCTTTGATTGGAATTTTCATGGCTTGTATATAATTATGTTTAAATGAGGACACCAAAACATTTTCAAATTTAAAACTTTAGAAAAAAAATTTAAAACTTAAAAAAATCTACCACTTAGATATTTGACAGTTGACAAGCAAGTAGAACAGTAAGAATTATAGTATTCTTCATTTCTTAAATCCAATTAATCTCTGCTTCACCCAGGTTTTACATTTTTTCTTAAAGTTCAATAAATTTATATTGATATGTTCCTTGATATCTTATTCAGAAAAAAACCCATAAGTCAGGTGATTGCTTTGGAAATTTGCTTGCAATCCTCTGAGTTTAAACATGTTCTTCAGCTTTCAGATTAATATCTAACAGAATACTCTTGTACTAGGATACTATCAGATACAATTTTATTATGGAGGTTAATGAATTTTCAGTGATGTAAAATATGGGCTAAAAATATATGGATGTAGAATATGACTGGGGTAAATGACATTTTGCTGAGCCTTACCATGCACCCAGCACTGTGGTCCTATTACCTTATCCACATAATGTCTCTCTGGGTTTTCTTAATTGGGACCAAAAACTTATTCTGATTCCACATTATTCTATTTACTTGTTTATTTATTTATTTATTTTAATACCTTAAGAATAAGTATGTATCAACTTAACATTTCTTAGAAAATGTCAATATTAATACATTAAACTTTTCTTACAGGATAAAAGAATAAGAGTATCTCAACCCTTGTCAAGAGGACCAAGTGCCTTTATTCCAGAGAAAGAAGTAAGTTTATCTGTTTAAAATTCATGAAGTGTGATTTAAAATAACTTCATTTTATCAAAGAATATCTCTTCTCAATATGGAGATAAAAATGTGTTTCACTCTTGAGCTTTTTATTCCTATGTCAGAAAACCACAGCGATGTTCTTTTCAACTTCACTTAGAAATCTAAGTTTGACTTATTAAAGTTAGGGAGTACTGAAAAGTTAAAAAGACAAAAAAAAATTAACAATATTTTATTTGATATATAAGTTTTCTGAGAAAAGTAGCTAAGAATAATAAAATTTAATACTAAATTGAAGGTTTTTGGTTTTAAAAAGTTCATTATTTGATGTAATGTATTACCTTTTTTTTGGATGTTTTTTTTTGTTTTTTTCATTTTTAGCTGTAGACTTTTTTTTTTTTTTTAGTTTTCGGCGGACACAACATCTTTATTTTATTTTTATGTGGTGCTGAGGATCGAACCTAGCGCCCCGCGCATGCCAGGCAAGCGCGCTACCGCTTGAGCCACATCCTTAGCCCCAAAAGTTCATTATTTGATGTAAACTATAACAATGTTTAGAAAAGATATTTTGAAATGAAAAAATGAGTTTCCCAACTAAACGTCTAAAATAAGATACATTACTAGCAGTTCTATTTTCATTTTGTTCTTTGATTGGACAACATGTCACAGGATCTCCAAACAATTGTGTACCTTTAGTGAGGGTGGGGAGTCAAGATGGTAAATGCAAGGAAGAGGGTTAAAATGATATAAAGGAGATTACAATCAATACAAAGTCGGTGCCTATTTTGTTGGTATTGATCCCTGAAAAATAACAACCATCTGCAGGACTCTCTAGATTCCTAGATCACTCTTAGATATACTTAGGCTAAGAACAGTTTAAAATCATTGATAAAGGAGTTTTTCTCTGCTTTAAGGAGTTAATAATGAACCAAATATAATTATCATATATACAGGTTCACTGTTTACTATTTGCATAGACATATTTTATCTTAAAGCAATAGGATTATTCCTTTATTGTTCTGAAATTAGTCAACAAATAACGAGTACCTATTATACGCCAGACATTGTCTTAAAGAGACTAATAGAATTAAAATAAAACCAGATCATTGCCAGAGTAAGCAGTTCTTTATCTTCATCTCACTTTTTTAGTGACCTTCTCATTGAATGAAAATTTAAAGTAACAGTAAACTTTCCAGATCTTGGTGACAATAGCCAATCTAGGTGGTGGCCAGCCTTGTCTATAGGTTGGCTACTACCTAGATTGGCCAGGCTGCCGTGTGTATTCCTGTTTTCCTCATGTCCAGAGATTGCTTAATACATATAAAAGGCTTCCAAAGCACATTTTCACAGTATATATTTGAAGCTATTCTGGTTTTTCAGGATCTATTGCATCACATCAATTTATTAATGTATCTTAGGCATCCAGTTAGACTTAAGAAATGTCTGCTGGAGAAAGCAAATTAAAAAACAACAAATATTCTATCCCTAACTATGTATGGTTCATCTAGATCTTTTTATATTTTTAACTATCATTTTGATTCTTATAGTTGACAGAGTAGGAGAAAGTGGGCAGTTGAAGGTTAACTGAGCTTCAGTGAAACTGCCTTTTTTTTAAACATAGTAAATGAGTACTTTTCAAACATAGTCCTTTGATTTTTAATTTCCCTCAGTCATTAGTACCTCTGTATAATTTGTTCTTATTTTTCAGAAAAAATTATGTGAAGCTAGCTCTGAAGAGTAAGCAGAGTTTCTTGATAACAGTGTGAATCTTTGAAAAGACTATTTGATCTTTAGGAGATCTAGATTCCAAACCAGATTTTGCTATTAACTAGGTGCATGAACTTGAATTTCATCTAGACTCTGTTTCCTTATCTCTAAAATAAGAAACATATTCATCTTAAGTCTAGAAAAAGTCTAGAACTGTAATTCTAAATACATATAAACAATGAACCAATACTAGAATTATGCATTATATGTTCATCAGTTCTGAGAATGAGTCATCTTTCCACAAGGTATTAATAAGCTATTCATGCCTTCAGAGCCAGTTCTTGGTGTAATGCCCAAACTGTTATTGTGTATAAAGCTATATATAAGTAATCTACTTTTCAGAAAGCTCTGTGGATTCACTAAGATAAAGGGTGTCCATTTTACTAATTTAACTTGTTTTTAGTAATTAATATTTTAGGCTAAAACTACCAACAAGAGAATTCTTATGACCTTACTTTTTATTAACACTTTCCTAGAAATTATCATATGTTTCTATGCTCCCTAAAAAGACTTCAGAAAACTTTTAAAATGTTAAATAACAAAAACAAGCAAAGAATGATTTAAAATTATTTGTTTAAAAGTAAGCAGGGTCCCAGCTGCTCGGAGGGTGGAGACAGGAGGATTGCTAGTACAAAGCCAGCCTGAGCAACAGCAAGGCACTAAGCAACTCAGTGAGACCCTATCTCTAAATAAATGCAAAATAGAGCTGGGGATGTGTCTCAGTGGTTGAGTAACTCTGAGTTTAATCCCTGGTTACCCACCCCCCAACACACACACACAAAAATAATAATGTGATTGTCTTCACAAGCTGATGAGATTAAATTATAAATTTATGTAGTCAAATGCTGCTCCCTTTGCCTCACCACAAATTGGTGTGACAATGGCCAGGCAAGTGGGCTCTGAAAATCTGCCTAATATATGCCTAGCAAAGCAGATGGAAGCTTTTTTCCTTCAATTTTATAGCTGTGTATTTAATGTTTGATGATTTAACATTTGTTGTTTAATAAATTGTGGTACCAGAGCCAAAAATGAATGGAACTTTTTAAAAAATGCTATGATGAGCAACTGCATAATTTCTCTGTCTGCAAATAGTAAATGAATATTCATTTGCTTCAATAGTGGCAAAATTTATGTAAACCAAGGATGTGTTTACATCACAATAGCTATTTTGTTTTGTGGTTTTCTTTGTTATAGGTTGTCCAAGCAAACACAGTGGATGAACGAACAAACTTTCTTGTGGAAGAATACTCTACATCTGGTCGTTTGGACAACATTACTCAGGTCATGAGTTTACACACTCAGTACCTGGAGTCTTTCTTGCGAAGCCAGTTTTACATGTTGCGCATGGATGGTCCCCTTCCTCTACCATACAGGCACTACATCGCCATAATGGTAAGTGCCCATTTTCCTATTTTCATGTGACATCTTCCCCTTTTCTTCCTACCTTCTAAAAGCATATCTGTGTTTGTGTGTACATGTGCATGAGTGCAAACACTTCATATATATGCAGAAAACTAAGTATAACTTTATGGATATAAAAATTGAAGATGCCTATTGCTTTCTGAACACCAAGTCCTTTGGATACATTTGGGGTACTTTAAGCCACTTAATATATTGAATGTTTTTCATTTAATTTTCAGTAAAATCATTTTCCATATTTAATCTCTTATTGTTCAAGATGTTCCTAGGGTCTAAAATAATATCTCATAAGTTTTGTTTTTAAATGAATGATGACACTTCTATTGTTCTTGTTATACACTAGTTAACTAGTTAATGTTATTGGCAGGTGATGGGTGTCATGGAGGAGAATTATAAATTTGTATGACAAGCAGTAAGAATGAGAAAAGTAGAAAGAATAATGCTATAGTTGGACTGCTAATGGAGAAAAAGGAGAACATGATGCAAGTTTTATATGTTTGGAGAGGTTAGGGGAACAGCTGGGCTGACAGAAATAGCAGAGCTAGCCAGGATTTAGTAGATTAGTGTTTACCAAGTTTGATTTGATTATCTTTTTTATATTCTCACTGAAGTTTTGAACAATAACAAAAAGCATTCTGTGTTTTATTGAATAATGAACTTGACTAAGATGATAATTTTAATTTTTCAGCTTTGGTGACACTTAATGTGCCTTAAGCTGAAAAAGCAGACTTAGAATACTCACAAACTAAGAGAGAACCCAGACATAGAAAATGGAAAGAATAAAACAATACTAAAAACAATACTATTTTACTAAGAAGTAGCCCTAAGGCAAAGAGAAGTCAAAAGTCTGATTTACATGAATTATACTAAGTTGTTGGCCACTGAGACTGATTTTGACTACATAGAAAGGAAACAATCAGCAAGTTCAGTGTCATCTGAGTAGGACAGTGTAGACAGATGTGACTGATATTATAGCTGTGTGTGTGTGTGTTTTCTGACTTGAGCACTGTCTTCTCTAGGCTAGTTTCAAAACTCCTTGGTTCAACCAGTCCTCCTGCCTTAGACTCCCAAACAGCTGGGACTATAAGCATGCACCACTGCGCTTAGCTCACAGTTATCATAAAGTGAATAAGAGAAGTACTCAATTAGTATGAATTCTGAATTGTTAGAATATAAATTAATAAAATGTTATGGTGTTTTAAATAAGAATACAGTATATGCTTATACTGAAATGGGTATGTATTTCCTTAAAATAGCTAGAAAGTGGGCTCTGGGTTAATCTATATAAACTTCTGGATGAAGAAGTAATTGGCTTCATGTGATAATTATTTGCTTTTAGAAGTACATATCAGCTTCATGTATTGATTCAAGAATCTATTGCAGCAGTATGATAAACATTCTGAAAGAAGATTCTGTAATAAAAGAGTTGTTAGCTATAAAAACCATTAACTCCATCTGAGTTGTTCATAAATAGTTGAATGAGACTCTATTTTGATTTTTTTTAACATCAAATTCTTTTCTTTGTGCTTTAGGCTGCAGCTAGACATCAGTGTTCTTACTTAATAAACATGCATGTGGATGAATTTTTAAAGACTGGAGGTATTGCTGAATGGTTGAATGGTTTGGAATATGTACCACAAAGACTGAAAAATCTTAATGAGATAAATAAGCTGCTAGCACACCGACCCTGGCTGATCACAAAAGAGCACATTCAGGTACTGAGCATTTCTTTGAAATAAAAAGGAAGTTTACTAATGATTCTGAGTTAATTTTTTGGTTGAGTTTTTTCTTAAGACTTAAATTTAACACTTGCATATTAGGAACTTGAAAAGAAAAAAAAAACAATAAATTAATCTGTGAAGCAGTGGTAAATTTAGGAAGTCAGTGGGTTTACTTTAAGTACAAATGAATACTTACCCTTCTTAAGTAGTGACTAATTAGCTTGTACTAGAACTTTGGTGAGCAGTAGGAGAAAAGTTGGCTGTATTTTCAAGCAGTAGATAGAACAAAGAAACTATAGAATCATGACAGGATGCCTGGGTTCTAGGATCTTTGTTATTCACAAGTTTATACTCTTTAGCAATTTCTATAGACCTCAATTCTCCCCTTTGGTAATGTGAGGGGTCTAGATTAAATAATTCTAAATTCTTTCTAGTAGTAGTAACATTTCATCATTTTAAGATTCACAAAAAATAATTTTGCAAATAAAAAATGATTTGCCAGCTGGTGTGTGAATACTTAAATGCCTCCAGAAACTAGAGCCTAGATGAGAAATAGAGTTGTTGTGATTGAATAAGAGCACTTGAATTTCAAAAGGAGCTTCCATCAAAGGCCAACAGGGTGAGGTCATTATACAGTATATTTAGCACTATGCTTGGTACATGGTAAGTTTTCAATAAATAGGAGTTGTCATTTAAATTATTGTCAGTAGAAGCATTAGTTATTTAAACCCCTGTTTCTAATGCATTAAAATGTTCTTTTTTTTTGTTATCCTATTGAACCATATTTTTATTGGTTATTTGCCCAGTTATTTAACCAAATGTAGCGTATATCAATCTGTATACTCTTAGATTCTGAGGATCTTTCTGGGAATCTGTGAACACAATGCTATCCTAAGGTTTATGTTCTGATTTGATAGCATGTTAGAAAATTAATTAACCACTGTTCTTATGTTATATCTTACTTTGTGTGAAATACTTTGGAGGGCTAAGAAGATAAAGACTTTGCCCCTGGATGTGCTTGGAGTCCAGGGGAGAAGAGTCAGAGGGTAATGACAATAATCTTACCAAACATCATGTTCAAATATATGGATAAAGAGAATAGGATCAGATTGTTTCTTAAAATAGGTGACATTTGAGCTAGGTCTCAAAAAAGTGGAGGTTTTCAAGTAGTAGAGTATGCATGTATAATTTGTGAGAAGAATAGCTAATACCTTCAGGTTATTGAAGCGTAGGGATATATATGTAAGGTAAGGGATGGGAAATGGGAAGAATTGGGATAATATTGTATGACCCAGTAAACTCTATATTATTATAGAATTTGTGTTTTTATCCTCAGAAAGTTATGGTCTTCAAAGTTATATTACAGTACCTCATGGGGTAGGGAGACATATTTTCAAAATATTAGAAAATATGTGTGTGCATATATTGTTATCTTTAAAAGATTTCTCTGTGTATTTTGTACTATTATTACAGTGCATATATGTATCTGTTCTAAATAAAATATAATTTATAAGTATATATTTATATATAAAATTAGGGGTTGGACCCTTTAATTGTCACTGTCAGAAATATATATGATCAAAAGAGATCACTATATTAGACAATTGAGATCATTAAAGGTATTTGTTCCAAGTTATAATATAAACTTATTTAGTGATGTAGAAGGTAAATTACAGGTGGTAACAGACTAGAAGCTGACTACTCATTACTATACTTAAGAGCTGAGTTTTTTAAAAAAAAGTCATGTTAAGATAAAGAGAAGGAACAAGACTGTAGTAATTATTCTACATGAAAATAAGCAAGACCTGGTAACTGGCAGAATATGAAGATGGAGGAAAGGGGGTAGGGGAGGAAAATGACTCTGAGGTTCATGAAATGAGCATTTATAGGACCGAGAAAATTATAACACCCACAAGGTCATGTCCAGTTAGTAAAGGAAATACAGGTCTATAGTTCAAGATAAAAAAGGGTGGATTAGAAGTAAAATCCAATAGTTATGAACTGTCCATTCAGGTCTTAAGATACTGTACAAGGAAAGAAGATTGTGGATGGACCAGGGCAAGCCAACATTTTGAAGGCAAGTAATAACAATGAGGGCTGGCTGTGAATGAGAGAAAGATCCATCTCAGGGTAGAAAAGGTGTAATTATTTTAGTCAGGGGAGATGAATTTCAGGAAGGGAGGAAGTGAACAAAGTAAACTCTGCAAAGACCAAACAGGGCACAGACTAAAATGAAATAGTCAGCTTGGGCCATTTGAAAGGTCATCATGTATGACTTTAGTAAATGTAATTTTAGAAGTTTGTTGGAAAAAAATCAGATTATAGTGAATTTATAAAGTAGAAATGAATGTGAGGAAGTGAGAAATTACAGATGATGAATGTTGGCTATTTTTTCAGGTTTAATGATAATCCTGCAAAGATTGGCCAAAGCACTGTAAATTCTACCAGTGATTTTCGAAAGTTCTTGGCAGTTTTATAAAAATATCATAAAAATATTAATACTCTTTATCCTAGAAATCCTATTAGGAAATGTTTCCAAAACACGAACAAAAGTGTAGCATGAGGAAACTATTTATTGTAGCAAAAAATTGAAGCAATTTAACTAATAGTACAGGAATGGAGAAGTAGTCATATATATGTTTTCATGTATCATGTAGGCATAGACTTAAAAACTCATATGACATTGTAGCTCCATGAAAACTCAACATGTCAAAATATCAGATTTGAAAAGCATAGAAATAGATGTTTATAGTTTTAACTTGTAATCATGACTATAAAAAAAGTAAAAGTTCTATTAGTGTGGTAGAATTTTAAGAATTTAACTGATCTTTTCCATTTCTTTCTCCTGAGCTTTTAATAATATATTAAATCGTGTGTGTGTGTGTGTGTGTGTGTGTGTGTAGGTGTGTATTTTGTTGAACAATAGAGAGCAAAGCAAAAGAAAGCAGGTTTTTTTTTTTTTTTTTCTGATTTAGCAGTGAAATGAGCCAAATGAAAGTGAAAGAAAGGAAAAGGAAACCCACACACCCCCCACACACAAACACACACACGGGGTGGGAGGAGGCACACATGTGAGTGAATGTGTGAACTGATGGGAAAGAATCCCTGGTGGATTTACTGATGGAATTCACTCCTAGAGAAAATGGGGGGGGGGAAGGAATTACTATTTTTAATGGCTTTAATTTATCATTCAGGTGGAGCATTGAGTAAAAAAGCATATGCTCTTATTCAAATGTAAGGGAGTATTCTACAGTCTATTATTGGCTATAGGATCTTTATTGGAAGGTATCCAAAGGATATCTAAAAAGCTGACTTGCTAAGTTGGATTTTTCAGGTGATTTTGTGGGATATAGTTTCCAAAACCTCAAAAAGTGAATGGTTTTGCTATAAGATCTTTAAAGTTTCTTCTAACTGTAATGTTCTTTGATTCCCTGAAGTATCTCATTAAAATAACATAAAGTATAAAAGGCTTTGGAAGCAGTAGATGCATCGTGTAATAAGGCATTTAGAAGAAGCTACAACATAATTATATTATTATGTATGATAGTTATTAATGTAACATTGTTTGACCAAAGCTGAATCTAGAGCCTGTGAAAAATTTTAAATTGAGTTTTAAATATATTACTATAAATAGGTATATGAAACCTGTTAGATTGTCTGTGCTTTTTAAAATTGCTTTGTAGCATGCTATAATTTTCATATTTACTCTGATGTGCTTTCTCATTTCAGAAACTTGTCAAAACTGGAGAAAATAATTGGTCTCTGCCTGAGCTGGTACATGCTGTGGTCCTATTGGCACATTATCATGCTTTGGCAAGCTTTGTTTTTGGTAGTGGCATCAATCCAGAAAGAGATCCAGAAATCTCCAATGGATTCAGGCTAATATCAGTCAACAATTTCTGTGTTTGTGATCTTGCTAATGACAACAACATAGAAAACGCATCCCTTACAGGCAACAACTTTGGGGTTAGTTTTCTTAATTATGTTTCTTTACCATTTTTGCTTTAAATTTTTTTTAATGTTAAAAATATCTAGAGATATTTTCTGACTAAATAGGATATCATATACTTGAAGTATTTTTGCATAATTTTTATTACTATAAAACTTTAATACCTACAGTTCTGATTTGTCTTCAAGAGGCTTTTTTAAAGCAAATAGATAAGATTAAAAATCATAAAAACTAAACACTGATGGATTCTAGAGATTATAGGCTTTTTTAAAAAGTTGTAGATGGACACATCACCTTTATTTTATTTATGTATTTATTTATTTGTATGTGGTGCTGAGGATTGAACCCAGTGCCTCACACATGTTAGGCAAGCACTCCACCACTGAGCCACAACCCCAGCCCCTAATCATAACCTTTTAATTTAGATCCTTTACATGCCCAATCTCAAAACAATGTATCTGTTTCTATAAGATGCTGGAACAGTTAACAGAAAATATATGAGAGCAGAAAGTAGAAAATTTAAGGATGCCTCATTTTTCAATAAATTATAATATAATTTCATATATACCAAATGCTATAATTCTACATTTAAAAATATATATCCATATGCACATGTATATATGTACTTGTAAACTTTTTAACTGAATCCGTCATGTGATTCTCTTTGTAGTTAGTGAAAAACTCACTTATGACTTTTTAAAAATAATTTTAATAAAAAATAATTCATATATCATCCATTTCACCTATTTAAAATAATCCAATAGTGCTTAGTGTGATCAGAGTTATACATCCATCACCATAATAAATTTTAGAATATTACTATAACATAAAAAAGAAATTCCAGGGGAGGGAAGGAAGGGGAGGGGTCATGGGGGCAGGAGAGATGGTAGAATGAGATGAACATCATTACCCTAGGAAAATGTATGGCTACTCATATGGTGCGATTCTACATCATGTGCAGCCAGAGAAATGAAAAGTTGTGCTCCATTTATGTACAGTAAATTAAAATGCATTCTGCTGTCATGTGTAACTAATTAGAACAAATAAAAAACAAAAAAGAAATTCCATAACCATTAGTAGTCATATCCCATTTCTCTCCTCTGCCCCATCCTTCCCTAATTCTGAGCCCCTGGCAACTACTTATCTATATTCTGTCACTACATATTTTCCAATTCTAGACACATTTTTGCAAATGTATCTAATTGTAATTACTTATAATTTGACAAACATCTCTCCTACAATCTTAATAAGTGTGCCTGAACCACTACACATAATAGAGTGACTGGAAGATGAAGATGTTTACCAGAACAATTTTTCATATTAATAGCATCTGACATTATCTTATGTGGTTCCAGATTGTGGATTCTCTAAGTGAGCTAGAAGCCTTAATGGAAAGGATGAAAAGGCTTCAAGAAGAAAGGGAAGATGAAGAGGCATCTCAGGAAGAAATGACCACGCGATTTGAGAAGGAGAAGAAAGAAAGTCTTTTTGTGGTCTCTGGAGATACTTTTCATTCATTTCCTCATTCAGGTGCTTCTTCCCACCACCACTGTCTTTTATTTTTAGTTGTTTGTAGAACCTTACTGAATGATCTTTAGTATTTTTCATATGAGGATGTAAAAATAACTGTTACCATCTTCCTTTAATTTAGTTTTCCTCTTCACTTTGCCTATTCTTTGCCCTTTACGTTGGTGCATCTTTGAATGTATAGTTATGTATCACTTTAGAATGACAATATGTTCTGATAAATGCATTGAGGGAACATTGTGGAGTATACCTAAGTAAACCTAGGTGGTGTAGGTCAGTCCCTTGAAATGGCATCTTAATGCAAACAAGACATACAGTAAACATGAGCTGTATGAGGTTACTACCAGCATAACATGGCATACTGTTTTGTAATAAGCTCTTTTTACAAGTAGGAGTATACTCAAAAGTAACAAAAAACACAGTGTAATATATAACCCATACATAATTGTGTATTTGCTGTACTTTTGTATGACTGGCAGTACAGTGGATTTGTTTACATTAGCATCACCACAAATGTCAGAAGTGCACTCCAATATTGCCATAACTACATCAAAAGGCAATCAGCTCCATTATAATCTTATGGTGTCACCTTTGTAAATGTAATACATCCTTGACAAAAATCTTACCATGAAGCATTGGGACTATATTTCAGATTCAGTTGGGACAAACTTCTAGGCTTGTTGTCTGCATTCTATCTTGGATAAAATATTATTTAAAGCAAACCAATCATTTATAAAGATAGATAGGAATATTTAATTCATTGTACTTTTGTGACTTAAAAAATAAGTGAAATTCTGTTTTAATAAGTAAATGTTTTAAAAATTCATTGCCATCTTTGTGGGTGGCATATGTGGGGGAGGATCATTCTTTCAGTTATTTTTCCAGATTAGTTCTAAAATTACATTATACTTGCATTCTTTGGAATTTTTTAAAAATGTATTTTTTAGGTCATTGTCTTATATTGAATTTGGAAGAATTCATTTTGTATTGAAAGCTAGAATTCCTGTCTTAAAAATGCACTTTGTATTGAAAAAATATTCATTTTGTGTTGAAAGCTAGATTTCCTGTCTTAAAAATGTACTTTTTCTAATACTCTATGAGACTTTGAAATAGAAAGGAAACTTTTCAATTTTAATTCCAAAGGATATTGAACACCACATAGTAAATTTTATTAAAATACCATAAATTCTCAACCCAAAGCTGAAACTCTTAGAAGTCATCATTCTTCATAACATTTCTTTTTAAAATAGAAATTACTGTGTTAAGGCTAGGCTTGTCAATCTTAATTTTGGAGAATTGTTTTGGCTTTAACTTGTTACTGCCAAAAATAGCATTGATCAATAACTTTGAAAAGTTTACAGGAAGAACAAGAACCCTTTTCATCATTTCCCCTAAAAGAAAAAAAAAAAAAAAGTTCAGGAGTAGAGTATTCCTGGATTCGTTCCCTAGTGTTGGAAAAAAAAACAACAAAAAAACACTAATGATCTTTTTTCATGAAAGATTTTAATCTACCCTATTGGATAGCCATTTTAATTCATTTACTCCATTGAAGGCTACTATAACTGTAAATCAGACATTTACTCAACAGGAAATCCCAAAAAAAGAAACTTATTGTTTTGGTTTAATATTTATTTGTTGAGTACCCCACATAGTCTCAGTGCTATGGTAGGAACTAAGGTTTTAAGACTAAATAAGACATGATTCCTTCTTCAGGGAACTTTTATGCTAGTGAGAAAAGGAGAAATAATTATAATACACAGTAAAATGTGAAAAATCTGGACATAGAAAAGAGCAATGAACCCAAACATGGTAGGGAAAAGGCATGGACTGATGGGAAACTAGAGGAGAAAGAGTAGTAGTTCTCTTGACTCTTAGATGTCTTAGGGAGTTGAGTGTGAGGAAGCCAAGCAGTGGCTGAGTGTGGCAGCGGCACAAGAGGACACCTGAGGTCAATAACATCCAGACCTGAGGAAAGGCATGATGATAAGGAAACAGGATGCAGCATATGGGAACAGTACTTTTATATTTTTAGGACATAAATCATGAGGTAGGCAGTAAGAAGAGGAAGTTGGTTAGGTAGATATCAGCCTTATCATAATGGCCTTTCTAATCTTGAGCATGTAAGCTTTCATGTTTGGACATTTTGACCTGACATGTTTGTAAAACATCCACGCTAGAGACATCCAGCAGTGTTTCTTCAACTGCAGTGTGCTCAAGAGTCACTGGGTATCTTTGGGATGCAGATGTTTTCAGTCAGTCTGGGTGGCCCAAGAGGCCACATTTCCATGAAGCCCGGGAGTGATGTCAGTGCTACCAGTCTGTAAACTGCACTTGAAATAGCACAGGAGATGAGGAGAGGGTTACAACCTTTATGAGAATTTTTGGAAATTATCAGCATGTAACTCAGGGCTAAAATCAAAGTTGATTATAGAAATCCAGGGAGAACAAGCAGAGACAAAGGAAAATAATGAAGTTGGGATGAACCTTCTGATAAGCCAGTATTTTAAAATGTAAACATTCTTATTAAGATTAGTAATGTCTGTTTGCTTTCAGACATTAGTTTTTAAGAACTTCTTTAAGATAACTAGAGCTTACCCAAGGCCAACATCATTCTAAATGGCAAAAAATTGGAAGCATTCCCTCTAAAAACTGGAACAAAACAGGGATGCCCTCTTTCACCACTCCTATTCAACATAGTCCTTGAAACTTTAGCCAGAGCAATTAGACAGATGAAAGAAATTAAAGGGATACACATAGGAAAAAAAGAACTGAAACTATCATTATTTGCTAATGACATGATTCTATACTTAGAGGATCCAAAAAACTCCACCAGAAAACTTCTAGAATTAATTTAGCAAAGTAGCAGGATATAAAATCAGTACCCATAAATCAAATACATTTCTATACATCAGTGATGAATCTGCTGAAAGAGAAATTAGGAAAACTAATCCCATTTAAAATAGCCTTAAAAAAATACTTGGGAATCAACAAAAGAGATGAAAGAGCTCTACAATGAAAGCTACAGAACACTAAATAAATTGAAGAAGGCCTTAGAAGATGGAAAGATCTCCCATGCTTTTGGATAGCCAAAATTAATACTGTCAAAATGGTCATACTACCCAAAGCACTATACAGATTCAATGTGATTCCAATTAAAATCCCAATGTCATTCCTTATAGAAATAAAAAATGCAATTATGAAATTTACTTGGAAAAATAAGAGACTTTTACATTAAGAGATAATGCATTGAAAGTGCTATTGGTAGTGTTTCTATTCATTTTAACAGAGTGCTGAAGCACAAGGAGAATACAAAGTGGTTATGGGTTTGGGGTAGGAATAAGCCTAAAATTTCTTTTTAGAGAACTGAAAGCCACTTAAAAACTTCAGGTCAATTTAAGTAGTTTAATGTTTAGACATTAAACTACTTTTCCACATCATCATATACTAATTCACATTGAATTTCTCACTGACATTTAGTATTGACAGGAGTATTAATAACTTATAGTAAGTTTATTATGAATAAATTTATTCATTTCTTTAGTTGACATTTGTTTTTGTATTAATGAAGCAAAAATAGATATTAAGAGTATAGCATAATAAGTGGCATTCTAGTAATTACTCAACAAAGTTTATCCTCTTTATGTGTAATAAAGAAGTTTTAAAATTCTTATTTTAATGAGAATTTTTGGGGATTAAATTTTTTTATTTGTCCTTTTGAGATTTACAGACATAGACTGTATTTTGACATATTATACATACATGGAGTGTAACTTCTCATTCTTGTGGTTGTACATGATTGTGGAGTTTGATACTGGTTGTGTATTCATATGTGAACATAGGAAAGTTATGTCCAAGTCATTCTACTGTCTTTTCTATTCACAGGCCCCTCCCTTTCGTCATTCCCCTTTCCTCATTCCCCTTTGTTTAATCCAGTAATCTTCTATTCCCCCCCAGCCCCCCCATGTGTGTTAGTATCCACATGTCAGAGGAACATTCGGCCTTTGGTTTTTTGGGATTGGCTTATTTCACTTAGCATGATAGTCTTCATTTCCATCCATTCACCAGCAAATGCCATAATGTCCTTCTTTATGACTGAGCAGTACTCCATTGTATAGATATGCCAAAAAAAAATGTTTTAATCCATTTCTCTGTTGAAAGGCAGACACCTAAGTTGGTTCCATAGCTTAGCTATCATGAATTGAGCTGCTGTAAACATTGATGGGGTCATGTCACCATAGTATGCTGTTTATAAGTCCTTTTTAATAAGATATATATAAAGTTGAATAGCCTTTCCTACTATTATGAAGCACACTGGCTGGGCATGGTGGTGGTGCACACCTGTAATCCCAGCAATTTGGGAGGCTGAGACAGGAAAATTGCAAGGTCAAGGCCAAGCCTCAACAACTTTGTGAATCCTTATCTCAAAATAAAGAGTAAAAAGGACTGGGGATGTAGCCCAGCGGGATAAAGAGCTCCTGGGTTCATTCCTTAGTGGAAAAAAAAAAAAAAGAACTCCAATAATTCTATGAGAGCAACCTAGATACCCAAAACCAGGGTCTTCAATGTACCGCGAGACATCAGATGTTACAATCATGTCATCTTCAAAATCTAGGTAAAAACTTAGGAAGAAAGAATACTTATTGTTGGGATTGTTGTGAAATAGCAAATATTAAACATAATGAAGTGTCCTATTCATTAGTCTAACAATGTTTCAGAAGAATTATTATAATTGCACTTATTTTTTAAACTTCCCCAAATTTTGACTAGATAAGAATTATAGTTTTTACTATGCTTCAAAACTTTTTATTAACTGTATTTAAAATTTATTACTTAATATTAATTAAAATACTAGTTAAGAAAATATGCTTACATAGGAGCTAATTTTTTTTCTTTCATTTTGGGAAATATATATTTATTTTCTAGAGCAAAAAGAAGAAAATGAAGCTCATGCATTCCATTTTAATGGTTGAAATCAGGAAAAAGTAATCAAAAATACAGACTAAAGTAAAAGAAAAAACAGTGAATTAGGGACTGGGGATGTGGCTCAAGCGGTAACACGCTCGCCTGGCATGCGTGGGGCGCTGGGTTCGATCCTCAGACCACATAAAATAAAATAAAGATGTTGTGTCCACTGAAAACTGAAAAATAAATATTAAAAAAACCCAGTGAATTAGAAGATGATTATCTTCAAGCTAAATTAATATGCATTGAACATTTAAATTTTTCCAGTGGTAAATTTTTAATATCATCAACTATGTAGTTGTCACCTGTCTTAAAATATTATTATTGTCTTTCTATCTTCCTGACTGCCAGTTTGGTACTAGTCTACTCACAGTCTTATTAGCAAGTTGTTTACTTCACATGTATGTTTTTATTTTCATGTGCTCAGAAAAATGAACACACATTACGTGTAAAGCTCAATGAATGTTCACAAACTGAACCCTCCTGTTTAGCACCCAGTTGAATAAAAAAAATGATAGTGTCATTCAAAAGTCCATTCTCCCCTCCCTGGAGCTTCTTTCCTGACCCTTTTCCTTATAACATACCACATTGTAAGCTAAAAACAAACTTTATTGAACTGATTTTTACTGTGAATAGGTCAAGATGAAACAATATGTAATTTAAGCACAGTTTATCTTAAATCTAAAATGGTCTTGTACCTTCATCTCCTCTCCTTCGTCACATCCCCTTTATCACCTGGAGAGAACAAAAGGATGTTTAAACTTTATATTCACAGGCCCATCCTATCTTCCATTTCTAAATTAGTAAAATTAGTGTATTAGTCTTTTGCTACTATTGTTTAGACTTTTTAAATTTAGTCAATTTTTTGCCTGGATAACTAGAGTTAAATTTAATTCCCAGAATTTAGAAATGAAATTATATTCAAAACTTCAGCAGCAGATATTTTATATGAATTTAAGCCACATAGTCAATATTGTTACATCATAAATTAATGATAATGCTAAAAAGTAGTGGAAAATGGGGTTCGGTTTTATTATCTTATCCAAGTACAATATTCTTATGAACTGGATTGTTCATTATTTTCTCTAGATTTTGAAGATGACATGATTGTAACATCTGATGTCTCGCGGTACATTGAAGACCCTGGTTTTGGGTATGAAGACTTTGCGAGACGAGGAGAAGAACATTTGCCAACATTCCGAGCTCAGGTATAAGATGTCTTTAATTCAGAGTAGCCACTTTAACTGCCATTTTAACTATTAACTGTTGAAATATAAATAAATTGACTTCAAAATAAATTGGTCATTTGATAGTATCTATAAATCTTGGTATTTATCCTCCTTTTCAGTCTCATATAATTTGGTATCCCAATAAGTGAATATAGTTATTTTAGCATTTCCCCCCTAAGAAGGCAAAAGGAAACTATCTGCTTTATTTAGTTATTTTCATTATTACATGGTAGTTGTACATTGTTCATGTGTTTTTCTAAAGGAAGCAGGGAGGAAATCAAATGGTATGGTCATGTTTATATGTAAAAAGGTATTTTGTAATAAGATCATATACCAGCAGGCATGGGCTTAAGGGCACCCTCCCACTCCTGAAAATGTAGCCAACTATAGTTAGGTGAGTCCTAAAGAGAGTGTAGGTTTGAATTACACAGATTCTTTTATGCCTATTTTAGATGATTTCTATGCTAACAGTCCATGTAACAGTTTGGTGACATAGGGATATTCCAAGATCTTCGAGGATCCTTTCAGATTCAGGTATAGTGTGCATAGTACCTGATCATCAGAGGTGGCCAGAGTTCATTACTAACATGACAAACACTGGGCAAACATTCTGGCACTCCAATCTGCAAACCGTTGTGAAGGGTTCTTGTTAAAGCCATAGTGAAGCTGCAAACCTAGATCTGAATTAGCAGTATGCTCACTAACTAGCTTCAGTAGTTTAATTCAATAAAAACATATTGGATACATTTTGTTCACTTAGGACTACACCTGGGAAAATCATGGGTTCTCCCTGGTGAACAGACTTTATTCAGACATTGGACATCTTCTTGATGAGAAGTTTAGAATGGTCTACAATCTCACCTATAACACTATGGCCACCCATGAGGATGTTGACACAACCACACTGCGCAGAGCTTTATTTAACTATGTTCACTGTATGTTTGGAATCAGGTATGTTCTATGTGCATACAGTTTTATACTATTTTTAAGTGAAAATTCTGACATGAGTCTTATTTATGTCCCACTTTGTAATTATAGGATTCTGGGGAGAGAATAATATATGTGAACTTCTGATTTAAAAAAAATTCTGTTTTATAGAGAGCATTTTTCTTCATTTAAGTGTTGCAAATCTTAACAATGATGTACATATAAGGACAGCAGGAAGAATTTACTGAGGAAAGGAGAAACAGCATCAGTAATCACTGGGATAGGATAGAATCAGACTAAAGTTGAGAATCCTTCCTGGAAAATAGATTAGTTTTTTAAAAAATGTGTATTGTGTCCCTTTAGATCACTGTAATAAATTCTGTTTTTTTTTTTTTAATTTATTTTTGAAGGAATGGTAATTGGGGCATAAGCAAAACTAGAATAGATTCTGTCCTCATAAAGCTTATGTAAGCTCACATAAGAATACTGAAATGAAACATATCAGTCAATATAAATTAAGGCTTCTAAGTTTAGGAAATTAGCATTGAGAAGATAGTGAGTAAATGAGGGAAGGAGATTGAATGGGCTAATCAAGAAAGCTCTATTTTGGAGAAGTGCTTTTTGGGGCTGAGTTTGGAAGGCTTTTTATGGAATAGATTTGCAGAAAAAAATTTGCAGTTATGAATACATTTAACTTGACTGTATAGTGTATCTTTTCTTATATATTATGTGAAAGCCTTTATGGAATGAAATTAGAATTCAATTTGTTAAGCTGAGTATTTTCTGTAATTTTAGCTAAAGGATCACAAAATTTCCCGATTAATCAACTAATAATGAAACATTCTATGTAAACAAACAAATAAACAAACAAACAAAAGAAAACCACTACAGGTTGAGCATCCTAAATCTGAAAATTTGACATCAAAATACTTTAAAATCCTAAACTTTTCATCTTATTAAAATTTGGGGGGTTTTAGAGAAATTGAGATTTCAGATTTTCTGATTAGGAATGTTTGATAAAGTCTATGCAAGTATACCAACATCTAAAAAACTTAGAACTCTGAAACATTTCTGATCCCAGTCATTTTGGAGCAGGGATTCTCATCCTGCATTATGATGGTATATAATAATTATGCTATTTGTCCATTGACTATCCTGAACAATAAATTATCAAAGAATTATCGTATGTTTAAACATATATATATATATATATATACACCCACACACACATAAAAATATACTATAGTGTATATATAATGTACACTATTATGTGGAAGAATATAGTATATATATATATACATATAGTGTATATAATGTATATATATATATATACACACACATAATATGTGTATATAAAGCATATGTAATATATAAAGGGGCACAATATACTTTTTTTTAACTAATCCATTTTCCAGGAAGGATTCTCAAATTTAGTCTTAATTCTATCCTATCTCCAATGATTACTGATGTTATATAAAACATACATACACACACATTATAGTTACACAGTTAAGAAAAATAAACACTAATAAAATTTAAGTCCAATAAATATTGATAGTATACAAGGCAATAAGTAACAAATGTTGTAATCATATTTAATCCGTTGGATGCTACTAAATGAAGTTTTTATGAAATCATCAAGATATCATTTATTTAAAGCAATACTTTGGATTTAAAAATATAGGAGATAAATTGCAAAAGCTTCCAGGACCACAGACCCCCTCCTATCTGTGCCTGTGCCTATTCTTTCTGCTCTCTCTCTTCTGTTTCTGTGGATGACCTGTCTATGCTGCTGTGCACTTAGACACAAACTCCCACATCCTCTCACTTCTGAAGATCTCTGTCCTCACTTCTCCCTCCTCTCTCCCACATAGTCAGCTTTACTTTCCTGTATCTTTTCCAGCAGTATGGAACATGTTTCTCCCATCACTAAAGAAAATTCTTTCATCCTCCTTTTCCTTCTGGCTGCTACCTCATTTTTCTACTCCTATGCATAGCAGATTTCTTTGAAAAAAAAATTGCATTTACTGTCACCATTTTCTCATATCCCATTCTCTCTTGAACTTACACAGTTAGGCTTTTTCTCCTACCATGCCTACAAAACTATGCTTATTGAGGTTACCAATAACTTCTGCTAGCTACTTTCCGTGGTCAGTCTGCAATTATTATTTATCTGATTGTTCAGCAGCATATTAGATACATGATGACTCTGTCATCCTTGAAACACTTGACTCCAGCCTTAGGGCCTTTATGCTTGTTCCTTCTCCACCTTATGGTATTTGTTCAAATGTCAATCTCTCAGAGAAGCCATCCTGCCCACCCTATTTAAAATCATAACTTCTTTCCTCCTAGACCACAGATTTCATTTTCTCTGCCTAGCAGTTGTCACCATCTGTATACTACATGCTTTATCTTTTAAATTTTTTCCTCCATATAGAATTTGAAGTCAATGAGATCAGGGATTGATTTTTTTTTCTATGTTCATCAGCGAATCCCCAGTACCTAGAAAGGTTCAGGGCATATAGAAATCACTCGGCAAATATTTGTTAAATTAATTAATTAATGAGCTTAGTGGTAAATAGTTATTAGACAATCTTTCTACAACATTAGAAATTAAAAATTTTAATTGTATCATAATAAAGCTGTTGTCCTGTTGCTCATAGGTATGATGATTATGACTATGGGGAAGTTAACCAATTACTTGAACGAAGCCTGAAGGTTTACATTAAGACAGTAACCTGCTATCCCGAGAGAACTACAAAGCGCATGTATGATAGTTACTGGCGGCAGTTCAAACACTCAGAAAAGGTAAAGTTTCATGACAAAGCATTATACCATAGACAGATATTCAGTATAATAAGTAATGATTATGAAAAAATGACGCAAGTGCTGTACTAATAAATTTGTGCTTTTGAAATTGAAGTGGAATTATCTAGCATTTTATGTTTTTAAATTCAGAGTTATTGACTATTAACTAAATTTTAGTTGTATGCTTTGTCTATCATAGTGTCTAAAGTAAATTTTAGCATCAGTCTGTGATAGAGTGTATCTTTCAAATAGTGTCTTTAATGTCTTTAAAATATGAGAAACTATCTACCATTCTAACTTTCAATAAAAACCAAACCTACTAATAAGTTTTAGTGGTATAATTGTATCTTGACTCAGAAGCATATCCATTTAAAGATTCTTTAGCTAGCCACAAGAATTATTAGAACAATAGTTTATCATCTCAATTTAATAACTGGTATTTAAGTTATAGATAGACCCTTATTTATTTTTTATTTATTTACATGCTGTGCTGAGAATCGAACCCAGTGCCTCACACATGCTAGGCAAGCACTCTACCACTGAGCTACATCCCAGCCCATATAATCTGGTATTTTGATAATATAATATAGGACCTTTTAGACAAAATATTATTATATAAGAATATTTTTTGCAGGAAATATATAGGAATCATATTTAAGTTAAAACCTAATAAATGTTAAGGATTTTTAACCAACATTAAAATATAAAAAGCTAGCTTTAAGTATTAGGCCTTTTAATCCTTAAATCCAAGAGTCTCATTTATATCTATGTTTGAGAATAAGAAATATTTCTAGGGTTCCAACAGACACTAATTAGCTGTTATGACCTTGGCAAAGAAATATTATGACCTCAGTATCTGACAGATTTTTTTGAAGTCTTAAAGCCAGTCACACTCAGGTAATTGCCCATTTTATCTTCAGCATCTCTTGGTGGATCTTTATGCCCTGTTTATATGTTTGCAATAGCTTTTCCTCCTTTTCTAGATTCTAGATTCTATCTAGAAATTTTCTTTACTCATCAGGAAACTATATCCAACAATATATTCAACTGGTAGAAAGATATCAAAACATTATATTTCCTTATAGGACATTTTGAAAATTTGCATGTATTCATTTTAACTGTCAGCTGAGAAGTATTCCTAAAAGAAGTGCTTTTCACAATTTTACCTGAAAGACTCTAAGGAAACTATGCATAGCTAATAAATAACAGACAGTACATAGAAAAAGTGTCCAGCATCAAAGTTTCACTTTAAAAGTAAATACTGGTAAAATTTTGAAGAGCTTTTCATGGTGTGTGTGTGTGTTTGTGTGTGTGTGTGTGTGTGTGTGTGTGTGTGTATAAACATATATATATGCATATATAATATGTACACACATCATATATATATATAGATATATGATGTTAAAAATGTTAAAAATGTAGGGTTAATTTTTAGCCATGTCAAATTTTATGACTTGGAAGTATAATTTGTAGGAAAATTATAATTTATAAAAATTAGTTTTGTAATTGAAAAGGTTAATTGGCTTTACATAATGTATAGTCTTAACAAGAGTATAGAATTTTGTAGACATTATGGGTTGTTTTTACTATTTGCAGAACTATCTTTATAAATACACATTTGAATGTTACATTTGTATATGCATAGATATACCCAGGCATGTATGTTTGTATATAATCTCTATACACATAAAGAATGTTTGTAAATGTAATATGTGGGAAAAACCTTAAAGATTTTTCCCTTTGTGTATTATGTTCACTAACCTGATAACATTTTCCTTTCCAGGTTCACGTAAATCTACTTTTAATGGAAGCAAGGATGCAAGCTGAACTGCTTTATGCCCTTCGGGCTATAACTCGGCATTTGACCTGAACCATTGACCAGGGAGAATGGCATGTGTGTAAAGACCTTTTCACATATGATTTACATCAGAAACTATTTGTGATATAGCATCAAAAATTATCCAATTCTCTAGTGTCAAAGATTAGTCGTTGGGTTTTTTTTGTTGTTGTTGTTGTTTTTCTTTTTCCGGCTGTAATGTGCAATGATGTGTTTTATTTTTCTTGATGCTTAACATTACTAACAATTGCAAAAATAATACTGAGGAGCACTACTTTGCATTGTTTATAGTTGGATTTTTGGATACTGATCATAAATCATGAACCTGGTTTGTTAATGCTTAACTTCAATGCTTAGGGGTTTGTGTGTATGTATACTTTTTTCTTTGCCCCCCATTTTTTTAAATAAGGAAAAGCGCTTACAATCTGGTCAAGCTAATTTTTTTTCAGATATTGGAATTCAGCAAAGAATGACCTCCTCTGGCCATTCTAAAATTTTCATGTTGTGTCCTAAGTCTGGTGGAGGAAAAGCATGCGCTGTTGAACCAAGCTGCTCAATGGACACAAATTTGTGTCCCCAGGAAATTATTTGTCAGGCACTGCGTTTTTGTTTATTTGTTTGTTTGTTTTGGGGTTTGGTTGTTTTTTTTTCTGCTATTGGCGATAACGTGAAATGTGATACAGCCATTGTCCATTATTTAATGTGAAGTTAATCATGATGAATTCTATCGCATGCTACTGAAATGCCAAATTTAGCAATTTTCTTTCTCTTCTAAACCGGAAGTTTCAGTTTTCCATATCAGATGTATATATGAAAAGCAGAATTATGCACAATCCTTCCTATCACTGACAGTACTTCTCAGTCACCTTAAATAATCAGTGCTCACAGTGCTGCTCACAGTTCTTTCAGTTGGCACATATAAACCTGTACCCACACAAGAGTGACCAAAAATTTTCTTTGCACATTTTCCTTTCTTATAGTTTTTTCTATATTATGGTAAGCAAAAGAAGGTTACATGCCTATATTTTTCCAATTAGGCTTTTAGAAATTGTTTCCATGATTTTCTTCCTATAATAGATTAAACATATTATTATTCAAAGGTTAAAAATTGTGTTTCTATGCATTAATGTGATTAAACAACAACAAAAAATGAGTGCAATATGTTCTAAGAAATACGCAACTTCCCCCTATTAAGTCACTGCAGAAGTGTCCTTTTAAACAGAGCCATAAAGAAATTTTGTGTAAATTTCTTTATTGAACTAGGCTTTTTTCAATTTTACCTTACTGGGGTTCAAAATGTTCTTTTAATAATGCCAAAGCATTTCTCTTCCCCAGAAAAATCTCTTTGGACAACTGGTTAAAAAAAGATGTCAAGTCATAGGGGAGGAATAAGCAGCCAAAAAGTCACATTTTTGCATTGGTTTATGTTGCTTATTAGACTATCTTCAGAGAGCACAACATTATGTGTTTATAGCTTTAATTTGTATTATGTTAATGAACCAGTGAAGTGCCTAAAGAGATGCTTACAACTATCCAGTAGGACACAACTGCACTGCTTAAACACTTTTTGGTTAATTAAGGGTGACTTGAATTTTACACATACATATTAGTTTTTAAAAAACATATTCATTTTTAATAGTAAATAATATAGCTAAAATTTTCCGTTATATTTCCCACAAAGATTTCAGTTTATATATACTTACTTATTTTATAGGACCTACTTTTTTCTCTCACGAAAGGATCATGGGGTAGTGTTTTGTTAAGTCACTTTCCCATTTCATTTGCCATCCTTCTCTGGTACAGTACATTAAGTTGCTTTGCTTTAGCTTTTGTTCCAGATAAGAAAACAAAGATGACTATACACTGTTAACATATAAGATAGTTTGCATTTTTGGATTCCAGGATCTTATTTGAAATCTTCCATGTGAGGAAAAAAAGTTACTAATATTTTTGAAGACAGGGTGGTTTATTTAAAGAGACTATTCAAAGAACTCACGCCAGATCTCTTGTGTTTTGTTTATTGCATATACCATATGTTGATTTTCTTCAATATCAAATTATATAGATACATATTAGCTGCAAGGAAAGTATTTAGGAGAATGGCAAAACACAGATGGCAGCATAAATGTTCATTAGATTTCCCTTACCTTAGGATTTTCAAGTTGAGGATATCTTTTATTCTTGTGTTTGTTTTCTTTTTAGAATCTTTTCAAGTAATAGCCCTATATTTTTGTGCAGGTGAATTGTATTACAGGAAGAAAAATGATTTTTATGTATTGAATAGAAAGAGAAATTCTCACAGGACACCAGATGAGCTTTAGACCAAAAGGGGAAACAAAGTTTAAATAACTAAAATGGCCACTTAATTTTTCCTTTTTACTTTTTCCCCAGAAATATAAGTAGTTAGAGGTTGGGTTATAGAAATATTAGTGCCTTTAATAGATCTTTTTCCTAGCAAAGTTTCTTTTTAGCTCAACATTGATCTGTCTTATTAATAATCAGGAAAATAAGTTGACTTGGAACTATAAACAGAAATAACATAATATATTAATAAACCTCAATGAACCAGCCTAGGGTAATTGACTAGTGAAGGTGCCAAAGCACCTGTTAGGATGCAGCATGCACAGCGTTCCAGGCTTGGCTCCCATCTGACCAAGAGTTTGCTGTCCACTCTCTTTATCCATTGCAAACTTGAAATTCTGATGCGGTTTTGCAGGGTGGTATTTTTTCAAAGTATTGAATTTACTATGTAGTAATTTATAGTGTAGTTTTTATATTAAAAATGTGATATTTTTAAAAAGAGATATCTGGTTCAATTGGTATAACGAAGTGATTATCTGATATGCTAATCTACACCTTGGGCTCACATTGTGCCAAACTTAAATGTGCAAATATATGTGAAAAAAAGCACATATGAATGTGAATTCTTTAATTACATGCTTATTATGTTAAAATCAGTCTAATAATCCACTTGTGTGTGCTTGAGTAATATCTACTTTGGAATTCCAAGTTTTCCAGCTTTGATGGTAACTCTTAATTTTTCAGATCACCTTAGGAAATATTAAAATGCCCCCCTCCTCCACCCATGTGAAATTAAACCTGTTCTTTAACCCCTTGACTATGGAAAGGTCCAGGCATGTGCCTCAGAACCTTCAGGTTAAGTTTCCTCAGGTGGGCTTGTGACAATAAAAGGGAAATGGGTTTTAGAGATGGGACTGCTTCACCTTTATGAACTAAGTATATTGTCTCAATCTCAGGAAGAATTTGTCCCACATGGGCTACTCTTTAAATCAAAGTTGGAAAACATGGAATCTGGGACAATTCCTTGGCTTTTAATTATGGTTTTAAACCCAAATAATGGCAGAGCAACACAGGGCTGTTTTTAGAACAGAAAACTCAAATGTAAAGTTTATTTAAAATATCATATAAAATTTGAACCAGAGCCCCTGTTTTATTTGTGCTTTAATGTCTCCTAAAGACTTTAAATACATCTAAAATCTAATTAATATTAGTAGGGCAACTTTTTCCTTTCCCACATTATGAAGTTTTCTTAATGAAAAACTTAGATTTCTGTGCCGCAGCAAAATAAATTTATCAGCAAACAAAGATCTGAACTTAAAATAGTTCACCATTTTTTAGTGGAGAGTGCATGCAAATATGGTGAGATTCTTTTTAAACACTAAAGACAATTCATCAGGGAAAATCACAAATTTCAGGGCATATGAGGCTTTTTGTTTTGTGTTATATTGCTTTAAAAAGAATTCTATATAATTTTTCTAAAAAGCAAGAGTTTAAATTCTTCTTTTTATCTCATAGGTCTTCTTCATCTTAAATGCAAAGAAATGGTCTTACATGGAGTAAAAAGCACACAATAGTAATGCTGTACAAATAGCATAGTTCAACACCAAACTGAAAGACATGTGATTACTCTGCTCCCTGTTCAAATCAAGTTTTCTGCTTTTAAAATTTTTTTTTTATTACTGGGGATTGAACCATTGACTTGCACATGCTATACAAGTATCCTATCATGAAGCTACATCCCTAGCCCTAGATTAAAGGTTTTAATCTTGGATTTTTGTTTTTTTGTTTTTGTGATGCTGGGGATTGAACCCAGGACCTCATATATGGCTAGGCAAGCACTCTGTTGCTGAGCCACACACCCCAGATTGAGTTTGAAATTATGTAATTTGTATAATCAGAACCCACTGTAGGTGGCCATCATCCTAAACTGTGTTTCCCTAATATACCTGTGTGGAGACTGAGAATCAAATTAAGTAGTCTTTCCTCAAAGCAGTACTGTAACCTGAATGTATTTATCTCAGTCAACAGAATTTAAATGCCCACTGTATGTGGAGCTTACTTCAGTGCTAATTTGGCATAGTCAGCAGTATCTGCTCAGGTGATACCTAGAACAAAAATAGCCGGGGCAAAGTAGATTATGAGGTAGAGGTATATGTCGAGGCAGAACCCTGTGAGGAATGAATCGCTTTCAAAGATCACATGGAACATAAAGCTGACACTGTGGCTGTCCTCAGTGTTGTGTACCTAATACAAAGGAAACATTTCCCACATGGAGCTCCTACCTGCATTTAGCCCACCCTTTCCTGCCTGCTTTCTCATCCTCCAAGTGCCTCAACCTCTGTACATGCACTCTGCTCCCCTTTCCTCAGCCTATATTGGTCTGAATGCCTTTCACAATCCAAACCAAACATCACCAGCCACCTGCTGATAGTCACCAGCATTTACTTTTCTGAGTTACTTTTCTTCATTCATTAAGAAAATGGCTGTGTCTCAGTTCCCTCTAAATCCCTCATCCATCCATCTATATATACTTGGGCCAACTTTTGCCCTAGATGCCCTACCAGATGTTATGCAGCATCAAGTGTAATCTTGTCCACCCCATACTGTTTCTACCCTTTTCCCAGCTGCCAAAATATCTTGCTCTCCTCTACCTCATCCCCAAAGAGCCTATAAATTTAGAGTATCCAACCTTTTCATGGGTTCACTCTCTGTTGTTCAGTAATACTACTTCCATATTTTAAATAAATCATAAAAGACTTTTGCCTTCTATCAGAGTAGGAATCTTTATATTTATACATGATACAGAAATTGAACTATTTCTACCATACAGAATTTAGCATTTAGCAGGATTTTAAAGTGATTGAATTGCCATCCTAAACTTGGATCTATATTAGATAATGAATACTGATGTTAGACCAAGTTATTTGAATGTAAAGTTAAAATTATCTAGCAATCCAGACTGACCTGTAACCCTTTAGTGGAACAGGAAATTTCTGGCATACAAATAGGGTGGTTTTTCAGACATTTGTTTTATTGGTGGTGTTTGGGCCTTGACACATTTGTCATAAAAGGACATATGAAAAGAGGTATTTATACAGTCTGAGTGGAACACAGAAGACCATTTGATTTAATGTAGATAAAATCCCACAAGACTGGACACATGAGGGTTTGACCAGGACTTGCTGGGTTACGTTAATCCTATCCCCCATTCCTATCATTTAAAAAAGAGGAAATGCAGAGAGAGGGAAAATACAAATTCTCATAATATAATTTTAAAAAGAGGAAATGCAGAGAGGAGGAAACTGAAAATTCTCCTCCCGTTGATGTACATTCAGTATGGCTCACACTATAAAATGTGTGTTTCTAACATATAGGAAACAAGTTTCTAACATGGGGCATGTGTATCTACAGATGCTTATCTCATCTGAAGATGAACCCTATTTGAAAGTGTAGATTATTATGTTCTCTTGTGGTATTTGATGTTTTCCATCTCAATCATAAATAGCCCAACCTGGAAGCAGTGTCCAATAAATGCCCTAAGGACCCAGGAGTGAACTGGTGACCTAGTACAACTTGGAGACTGATAGAGTTGTTAAATCATGTGTCATAAAGTGTTCATTCTAGCTTTAACCTAACTATGACTGTACCACCATGAAGTACAGAACTGAAAAAGAAAAAAAAATATATAGGGGGGAAAAATAGAGTACCTAGTTCTTTTGAGTGCTTGTGGAACACTCTAAAATAATGCAGTGCATAACATAAAATAGCCTTTAGAACAAAGACTCCATTTTATAGTCATAGGACATCATCAAGAATTAGTAAGTCTTAAATATGATAAAATATAATTTTGGTATGTAAAATTTTGCTAAAAACAGTCTATTTTCTTGCACCCCTCAAGTTAGCCTCTTAAAAAAATGAATGTATAATTTCTACAGAAAGACTATTAAAGAAGGAGAGAGGATCTCCAGTCTTTAATGTTCAAATATTCTTCATGGATCCCAAATCATTAAGTGTATACATTATGATATAGAATAAAACTAATTACACATTTCTTTCTTAATCAGTCTTCACCATTTTCAACTGGATCTCCCAACTCTGATAAGAATCAAAAGATAGGATAAAGGAAATATAGCAGTTAGGTGGCCAAGGATTTTCCTTTGTAAAGTTGAGAAACAATTTTCTCCTTTATGAATTTTACTGGTTCTCTAAAATAAAAACTGAGTTAAACGGTACCCTTGTTCGCCAAGGAAAGTGATCCAAACTCTATTTCTAGTGCAAATATTTCCTTTGCATTCATATGTCTTCTCTGGAGAGAAAGTACAATTTTTCCCTTCCTCTTTCTCTTCACATTAACTCTTTTAACCCAAAATAAGATAGACAGTGAAAGCAAATCACAAGCCAGTTTGGCATCTTCTCAGTGCTTATAGAATATACACATCCACACACAGTCTGAGCAAGGTAAACAAGAACCCTGTCAGGTCACCTTGGAATGCGGCCTTGCCACTTGGATTAGTTCCTTCAAACCTGAAAACAACTTTCCTGGTCATGGAAGAACTGGATGTATCCTTTAACTTATGAAATAGAATTTGAACTTGAAAACTCTTTTTATTAATCCTGATTTTGCAAGGCAGCTACATAATGAATGTATATATTAAGACTTTGTAGCTGAATTGCACATGAAATCAGATTGCCAACTTCTTGACTTTTCAATTATAGGCATCATTTTATCCTTAAGTTGTGAGCGATATATGTAGCATGCTGTGAAACGTCTATTATAGTTCTTTAATTCATCAGTATTAATACAGAATTATCCTTTGCGTTCCTTGGTACTTTTTATTCAGTGTAATCAAAAGCTGTGATGTTTTGCCTTTGTAGTCCTGTGCTTTGTTACTGTAATTTTTTTTTCTACGAAGCACGTGACTTTGGACTAATGTTAAGGCGGATGATATGATCTTTAAGACTGCTAATATATATATATACACATATATATATATATATATATATATATATATATATATATCAGTCTCTTACTCTATAAGGATTTAAATTAGAATAAGCTTTTATCAAATAGATCATTGATGCAGTTTAGGATTCACGCAAGTTTCAGTGTCAAATGGCAGTCTTATATTTATAGTTTCAATTCTGAAAATAGAAAATTTAATAAAACAGCCACTTTAAACTTGTTCTGGCAAACCAGACCCTGCTGTAGATATAGTCTAAGGTAGTTAACCATATAAGCCTTTTCAACTCTTAAATGCCACATGAGTCAGCAGTTAAGGAGATTTTAGAACCCATGAAAGCTTTTTGTATGTATAACTAGGTTTTATTTTTTTTATGTTGCTGATTTTACAATTCTGACTAAAGCTGACCTGAATGGGTCAGTTTATAATATTCTAGTGCTTTAATGCCTCTTTTTGTTTTTTTATTTTTTGTTTTTGGAGGGATGGGTAATATTATTTGAACAGATGTGGAAGGAACTGTTAGTGAGTCAAGACAAACACATTTGAAATAAAGGAATTGTGTATTAACATGTTAACAATTCATAACTGCACTTTTTATGACATTTTGAAAATCTATTTATAGGTACAGAACAATGGGTTTTGTTAAACTGTATCACATTTATACTTGCAGAAATTTATTTCATTGTTATTAGTAGGAATTTTATTGGTTCAATAAAATTGGCAAAACTGAACCCAATTATTTTCTTTCTTTCTTTATATTATTAAAGTAGCATTTTCACCTAGGTTTGTTTCTCCTTGATCATTGAAACATGCCTTCTGAAAGACATCAGAATTGTAGGACTCATTATTTTCCCTGACCCATACTTTTCTTATGACATTTCTTCTTTTTTTCTTTCTTTCTTTCTTTTTTTTTTTTTTTTAGTACAAGGGATTGAATTCGGGGGCACTTAACCACTGAGCCACATCTCAGCCCTATTTTGTGTTTACTCAGAGATAGAGTCTCACTGAGTTGCTTAGCACCTTGCAGTTGCTGAGTCTAGCTTTGAACTCAATATTCTCCTGCCTCAGCCTCCCCAGTGGCTGGAATTACAGGTGTGCACCACTACGCCCGGCTTCTTATGACATTTTTAAAAATCACTAGATATTGCATTAGTGGACTATTATAGTTCAAAAACTAATTATTGTTTCCTTTATATATTAATTATGTAGAGTCAGAAGGTGGTTTGAATAGATGCACCCAGCACCCCTGCTTCTTAACAAAGAAAAAACCAAACAGGTGGATGACCTGGGGAGGTCAATGACCTTGAGAGAACACTGGAATTCAACAGTAGAAGAATGGAAATCTTGTAAAATCCAGAAACCTGGGACAGGAGCCTAGAAAAACAAAATATTCCATCACCTACTACCTATTTCTACAGCGGAAGGGAAGGGAAGTCTCCCCTCAGGAGGGGCAAAGATAAAAAGAGTCCTAGCAACCTCTAACAGTAGAGATAGTGGCAATCTTAGCTATTAGGAAGTTTCATGGTCTTTACAGACTTACAGCCTAAATACACAGAATGCCTGAAATCTTCACAGTCATCTGACTAAAATAGGAATTCACTTTCAACTCCCATAGAACTTCCAGAGGGCTGGAACCAGGAGGCATCTTAAGAAAGAACCTATTGTCTGAATTTGGACATCTCCAGGCATCAGCTACTTCATATTCCCACCTCTGGGATCCCTCAGACCTTCTACAGCAGTGACTCAACTGATAGCTGTTTCAGTGGAGTGCTACTCGGGAGGTGTGACACATGGGAGTAGTAGGTGCTGCCCTCAAGAACTGGGGGATCAGAAACCTGCCTCTAAGACCAGGGGTATGACCAGTTGCCTGTGGTTTCATACAGTGCCAGGACAGTGGGCAGTTGCCCCACGGTTCCTGCCACTTCTCTCCCAGATTTATGCATGGGTGCCTGTCACTAAAAAGGCAGAGAAAGAACTAAGGTTCTACTGTTTGTTCTGCCCATATAGAGAGGTGTGATGGAGCAACACCACTGCAGCTCCAGCTATAGCCTGCCCCAGGGAACAGTCTAGGAAGACTGGAGAGATACCTTGCCCTGTTTGGCCACATTCCACTCTCACTCAACTGAGAGGAATTTTGCCTGGCTCCAGACATGACCCACTCCCACTTGATCCCTGCCAGGTACTACTACTAAGAAAATCAAAGGGGGGTGGGAGGTGGCAACCATTGCCCCACCCCCAGGGCACAAAGCCTGAGAGGGTCTAGAGATAATTTGCCTGGTGCTGGCCATGTTCTTTTCCCACTCACTCCCCTAGGTACCTCTGCCAAGGGGAATTTTGCTCAGTTTTAGATGTGATCCATTCTTGTACCAACCCTAATGGGTACTACAACTGAAAAAAATCATGGGGAGAAAAGCCACAGGCCATCAATCTGTACCTTGGCATGCAGCCTAAGAAGGTCCAGAAAGAAAATTTGATGGGCACCAGCTGTGTTCTGCTCCTGTCCACTCCTATAAGTGCCTCGGCTGAGAGGAATTTCACTGTGTTCTATTTTCCCTGACCCACACTATCATAAGTGATAGAACTACTTGATCCTTGGTGGACACTATGGTTCGGATAATATGGGAAAGAAAAGCCCCATCCCCAAGTATGCACATAATGGAAGGAGGAGTCCTGAAGTCCTGATCCTGGGGAAGCAAGTTCACAGTAGCAACAGAGAGTAATAACACAATTTTGCTATTGTATGATGGATCCCCTGCATCATTCACCCCTTGTCTGATCATGCACTAGAGAGAAGAATGAGTGTAAATGCCACAGAGGGAACATTGTGATACCATCAGCCACCTCTTCCCAGGAAACACCTGGATCTACACTAGTGTCAAATCGGGATAAGCGCTTCACCCAGTACCAGAGAACTTCCCAAGCAACAGAGCCAACATCAACAGTGCCTGAGGAAACTCTCATCACTCAATTGTCTATTGACAACTCCCATCACTCAATTGTCTATTGACAACTCCCATTGTGCATTCCACACACTGTCGTCTACAGCCTCTCTGCCTTCACAGCTACAGTGTCCAAACAACTGGCTGACCCATAGAGATAGTGGATCTCTCTGACTCCAATATGTATACACTGTGTCAAACTCACTAATCACAGCCAAAGAAGCTACTGGGAGAATACACTACGGAATACAGCTGTAAATAAACTCAACATTACACAACAAACTGATACCCAAGACACATCTTTAGGAGAAAGTCATTAGGAAGTATATTTCATAAGTGATAGAACCATTCATTCCATTAGATGCATAAATCTCAACATAGAAACACAGAAATATGAAAAAATATGACAATATAACACCTTTTAAAGATCATAACTCTGTAGTAACATATTCCAAAGATATCAAAATGTATAAAAAATGAATTCAAAAGAATGATTTTTAAAAAGCTCAATGACATCCAAGTTAATACAGATCACTTAAATGAAATTAGGAAGACAATGCAGCACATAGATGAGAAATTCATCAAAGAGAATAGAGATCTTATTAAATTTTTTTCAGAAATCTTAATGGAAAGCTTAAGTCAGATAAAAATTCAATTAAAAGCCTCAAGAACATAATAGATGACACAGAAGAAAGAATGGAACTCAAGGTCTTTCAAAATATCACATTCAGATAGAATATAAAAATAGAGAAAATATAAGCTCTTTGGGACACCATTAAAAGATCAAATGTCTGCATCATTGGCATACCTGAAGGAGAGGAAATAAAGATTGAGGGTATAGAAAATATATTCAATGAAATAATACCAGAAAACTTCTCTAATCTTGGGAAAGTCATGAACATTCAAGTACACAAGGCTTATAGAACCCCAAATAGACATGTTCAGAAAAGATCCTCCTCATGATATATTATAGTCAAACTGTCCAAAGACAGGACAAAGAATTTTAAAATCTGCAAAATTGCCTACTCACTAAGGGCAATTCCATTACACTAATAGAAGATTTCTCAGAAGAAATCCTATATACTGTGAGGGCATGGAATGATGTAGTTCAAGTCCTAAAAGAAAATACTATCAATCAACATTCTTATTATTATATCCAACAAAGCTATTCAGAATTGAGGAAGAAATAAACACCTTCAAAGATAAGCAAAAACTACGTGTATTCATAACCACCTGGCCAGTGTCACAAAAGATACTTAAGGGAGTTATGCATCCAGAATTTGAGGAAAGATAGCTATCATCATGCTAGCATATAAAAGTATATACCATCCTAAAAGAATAGATACACAAATGACAAATAGAAAATAAATATTATCAATGCCGTAAATCATCAAACCACAAAAAATGAATAAGAGGAATAAAAAATATTCAAAACAACTAGAAGATAATCAGCATAATAGGCATTTTCATACTTTTCATTAATGATAAAATTTAAAGGCATAAGCCAGCTGAATGGATTTATTAAAAAATATCCTGCCTACAAGAAATTCATATAATCAGTAAGGACATATATAGGCTGACAGGGAAAGGATGGAAAATGATATTCCAAGAGAATGGAATCTGAAAACAAGAAGATATGGCTATAGTTATATCTGACAAAATAGACTTTAAGACAAAAACAGTGAGAACAGAAAAGAAGGTCACTATATAATAATCAGGGGATCAACCTATCAAGAAGCTCCAATAATTATAAATTTGTATTTACCTAATGTCAGAGCATCCAGTTTTATAAAACAAGCACTCCTAGACCTAAAAGGAAAGATAAGTTTTAACACAATAATAGAGGGAGATTTTGGTATTCCACTCCCACCAATGGGTAGATCATCCAGACAAAAATCAACAAAGAAACTCACAGTTAAACTACACAATAGATCAAATGGACTTAACATTTACAGAACATTCCACCCATCAACTACAGAATACACATAAATCAGTGCATGGAACTTTCTCTATTGTATATCATTTATTAGGCCACAAAATGTCTCAACAAAATTTTTAGAGATGAAATCATATCTTGTATACTTTCTGAGCACAATAGAATGAAACTAGAAACCAAAAGCAAAAACAACTTTAGAAATTATATAAACAGATGGATACTAAACAACACACTTTTGAGTGAACAGTAGGTTATTAAGGAAGTCAAGAGAGAAATTTAAAAATTCCTCAAAACGAAAGGAAATGGAAAGACAACAAACCCTTGGGATACAGAAAAAGCAATAATAAAAGGGAAGTTTATAGCAACTAGTGCCTACATCAAAAAAAATAGACCTCAAATAAACAATGTAATGATGCATATCAAAGTCTTAGAAAAGAATTATACCTTAAAATAGAAGAAAAGAAATAATAAAGATCAAAGCACAAAGAAATGAAATAGTCTAAAAAATAATATAACAGATCAATGAAACAGAATTGTTTCTTTGAAAAGGTCAAAAAATGGATAAATTTTTAGCTAGATCAACCAAAAACAAACAAAAAAATAAAATAAAATTACAGGTGAGAAGTGAGATATTATCACTGATAACAAAGAAATTCAAAGGATCACAAAGGATTACCTTGGAAAACTATTTGCTAACCAGTTAGAAAATGTGGAAAAATTTCTAAACATATTTGATCTACCAAAACTGAACCACCAAGACGATGCAAAAACCCCGAGTACATCAATAACAAGTAATGATATTGAATCAGCAATAAAAAATCTACCAACAACAACAACAAAAAAAAAGTCCAGAGTCACATG